ACATGAGCAGTGAAACGACGATAAGGTTGCCGCCCGTAATTGTCCCACGATAGCGCTTTTTTTTCCGTCTGCTTAGTCGACTTTAGAGTGGGGCTGCATCGGGTAGCCATCCGCAGGTGCCGTACTCCCACCGCCAGCTCCGCCACCAGCGAGAACACTCGGCGACAGCTGCGCGCGCAGCGCTCGCCGTACACTTCGTAGCGTGCCCTTGAGCTGGCCCTGCAATGCCGCCGCCGATGCCGGCGCTGCCGCCGACAGCGCCCGCGCCACGCTATTGACGCTGCGCCGTACCCCCGCCGCCGTCGCCGCCGCTACCTGGTGCGACGCCGCCGACGACGCCGATGCGGAGCCGGTGGCTGCGGTTGATCCGTCGGGGGTCATTGCCGCAACGGTGGACAGACCTTTCCGTACGACAGTGCTGGCGGGAAAGTGGCGAGTCCGACGCGACGCACCGCCCTCCGCCTTTCCTCCTCCTCCTCCTCCGCCGCCGCCGCCGTCGCCGCCGTCGCCGTCGCCACCCTCGCCCTCTCCACACAACAGAGCCCCGCTTCTATCACCCCCCGCCAGGCTGTCTTCCCAATACACGCCGCCGCCACCGCCATCGCCGCCGCCATCCTCCTCGTCCTCCCCCTCGCCGCCTCCTTGTGGACTCCCCCCTTCCCCATTGCGGCGACCAGGGACGCCTCCCTCGTAACCGTAGCAGTACTCCCCTTCCTCACCCTCCTGCTGGTGGTGGCTGTTGCCGTAGCCGTAGCCAGCGTCGACGGCGGCGGCGGCCGCCCCGTACGCTCCATTTAGTGCCTGGCTGCCGACGCGTGCAAGCGCCTTGCCGGCGCCGTTAGCTGCTCGACGGCCCGCCACCATCGCCTCGCATACGAGGCGATAGGCGAAGGTGGCGGATGTACGGCGGAGCTGCGCCGCTAGCTGGCGGCCAGCGGCGGCGGCGGCAGCGGCGGCGGGGCCGTCGCGGCGGGCAAGGTGTCGCGCCGGCGCCGAAACCAGTGTCGCCACGGCGGAGCCGACTTTGACCACAGCGTTGACCGGCGCAAGGCCCGTAATGAACTTATGCGCCTGTGCATAGATGATTTGCATTTGCCTCTAGGTCAGCAAACTGCCTGGGTAACTGCAATCCGTACACTACAACGCAACAGCTAATTTACTACGGA